AGAGACTGGTAATTCGTTGTGTTTCGCGAAGTGGACAGTCTCGGACTACGGAAATATAAACTGATAGACCTCACGAAAAATAATCTTGTAAAACTGAATAAGTGTTTTCGGACTCGATTGAAATAAGACATATACAGTTTTGTGGAAAATAGACAATAAGAGACGAAATGTGTTCGAGGAAAGTGCGCCTAGCGGACTTGAAAGTCTCCGAATTGAAGCAAGAATTGGAGGATAGAGAGCTAGTACTGGAAAGAAATCAGTACTTCAGAAAAGACTCTGGGATAACTTGACTGAATCAGGAGAAGATCCCGAAAACATATTTATTTGGAGTTTCTGGAGGTGATTTGAGTTCAATAATGAGCAAACTCGATGAGAATACCAAACCGCTGAAAAATGAACAAGCTTCGCGAAAATTCACCGAGTTTAAAAGATGAACTTCAACAAAATTCTAAGTGCCTGGAGAAGAAGCTTTTAAAAAATTCGAAGAGTTTGGAAGACAAGCTTCTGGAAGATTCGAAAAGTTTGGAAGATATATTTCCAGGGAATTCGAACAGATTGAAGGAAGAACACCGAGAAAATGCAGAAGGCTTAAAGAAAGAACTTTGTGTGGAGCGAGTCTACTCTAAGAAAGGATAGGAACAATCGCGACTGAAATAGACAAAATCGGGAAGGAAATGAACACGGAAGTAGAGGAAATCAAAGGCGGCGTTCAGGCAGAAATCAGTTTTAACATGGAAGAACTCCAAAAGGCAAGGAAAGATGTCAAAGTCAGTTCTGAACCAAGAAAGCTCTCCAAGAAGCCACCCCAGTTCGACGAAAACATTTCTTGAGCAAATTACCGCCGACAATTCGAAGCTGCGGCCAGAGCGAATTCATGGAATGCAGGAGAAAAGGCGGTAACATGAACACTGGCGTTGCGTGGAGAAGCAACGGATATTTTGCAAACCCTCACGGCTCAAGAACAGGACCATGACCAACTTATAAAGCATCTCGAGTTACGGTATGGACAGGACCTAGAGCACGTTTACCATTCACAGCCGAAAAACCACTGACAGAAATCAGGAGAATCTCTACAGGAATTTGAAGCCGACAGTGCTCGATTGGTTCGTCGAGCATATCCTGCTATACCGGAAAATGTAATGGAACGGTTAGTAGTTGAGGCATTCTTAGACGGACTTCGCGACCAGGAAACGAGGCAGTCCTTGATACTGGGTCATCCCAAATATCTCGTGGATGCATTGGTAAGCGCCCTGGAGTTTGAGGCTGCAAAACAATCCTGCCAGGACCAAGTTCGAACTATTGAAGAAGATGGATAAATGCCTGCTGATATTGAATCTGAGAGAAAACAAATGAGATGATGGAACTGTAGGAAAATTGGGCATGTGCGTAGCAAATATCCAAACATTAACCCTGCATCCGACATGTGAACTTTTGTAACATTTGTAGACACGTGGGGTGTTTGAGACCCCAATATGATTTTTCTGTTAAAATTAACATTTTTTTGACATAGTTTTTAACATAGTTGTAATATCTCTTTTTGCAATAAAATAATTTTCGATTTACCAAAACGAGCAATAAATCGTTATATTCCGTCTTTACCAAAACAATACGTTCTTTCAATGGAAAATATTGATTTACTCGGAGAAGTCTTGTGCACATAAAACGACTGATTACATATCAAATTGCTGGTTCAAACAGATAATAAAACATCATAAAATAGAAGTTTAAAAAAATTATTGAAAATCATAAAAAGTAACAGGTCATCAACATTTGCCATTTCTACGTAAGATTTGCAGTACATTTCTACATGATCCAGACATGAATTTATTACATTTGTTACAAATGTATTTTGTATTTCGATCACGGGAACGATGGCAAACTTGAGACCTTACTTGACCATTTTGTTTAAGTCTTTTGGATGGAGGTTCCACAGTTTCGCCTCTGATCTTCGAAATCTGGATAGTTTACTAACAATGCTAACAGTATCGCTCGTTTCATCACCATTATATTCGTCAATTTCATCATCACTTCCTATTTCATCCCATAAGGACTGGAGACGGGCCATTTCTCGCTCATAATCACCTATTTTCATCAAATAATCTGAAAAACTACTCGATTTAGTTTTCTTTGAATGCGCACAATTTTGGAACGTATTGAGACACGTGGGGTTTCGTGCACCCTAGTCACATTCTAACAGGTCTAATTCAAACATACGTCAAACGACAACTAATTTGATATGTGAATATGAGAGTGGAGACTATATGCAGAAGCTACTAAATATATCCGACGCTGGGCTGCCAATTTCAATAAGTTATATGGAATTTTCTACGGCTGGGGTATGTCACAACCCACGTGTCGGACGCAGGATTAAAAGAACCAACACCAAAGCAGAAAAACTAGAGGGAGTTGTTGAGAAGGGGCAATCGTCGGCCTGTATCTAGCAGGCCCCCGTAAAAAACCAAGACCATGTCCCGATGACTGCTCACATTGCCGATGAGCAGAAGAGAGGGAAGCAGCTATTTGTTGAACTACAGCTGTGGACGACAATTGGGAGGACAATAAGATCAAGGAAGACCAATCCCAATGAAATTCCTTTACCTTGGAAAACGGAGTTCTGAAGCGGGTGTTGGAGTCTGAAGACGGTTGAGAAGAAAGGCGCCACACAGTGGTACCCAAGAACAGACGACGAAAGGTGCTCAAAGAATTCCATAATGGAAGCCTTTACTATCGCTAACGTCCTGGTAAAGGAATGGATATGTCTATTCGGTGTCTCATTGAAGCTGCATTCAGACCAGGGCAGAAATTCCGACGTAGTCTCTGACTGCCAATGAGACTGGGACCAGTACCTCCACCTGTTCCTGTTGGCCTATCGTTCAGCAATGCACGAGTCAATCGGCCAAACTCCTGCCAGTATTATAATGGGCCGAGAGCTGCGGCTTCCTTGCGATCTGAAATTTGGGACGCCGCCAGAACAAGATACTGCAGGGGAAGACTATTTTCGAAAACTACACCTCAACGATTTGATCTCCACAAACTTCATTTGAAAAATATGTCACAACATGTTTCGCTAAGACATTAGCTTCTTCAAGTGATTTGTGACGTCCAAGATAAGCTGAAAAAGCTAATGTCCTAGCGAAACATGTTGTGATATATTTTTCAAATAAAGCTTGTGGAGATCAAATCGTTGAAGTGTACTTTTTGAAATTACTATGGATATTCATCAAGTAACGGCCGAATTAATCAAAAAAAAAGGGAAGACTATGTCAGCGAGCTTCGGCAGCAAATGGACGACATCCATGAACGAGTCCGTCTGAACATCCGTAGCGCCAGCGATAGGATGAACAAGGCCTATGACATCAAGGCGAATGGGGGAGGATTCAAAATCGGTGACCTAGTTTTGGTGTACAACCCTAAGCGACGCGGTGGTTTATCACTGAAGTTGCGGAACTCGTGAGAAGGTCCGTACAAAATCATGAAGAAGATAAATGACCTCGTCTACCAAATCCATTAGCCACCTCGAGGAAAGCCTAAGGTCGTCTATTTTAATAGATTGGCTCCTTATGCTGGAAATCACGACCTAGTTCGCGCCCTCGGACCACCAGAGGATGAAATGACGTTCCAGAAGTTCATGTATTTATACTCGAACGGACAGAGGGTCGTACATGGGGTAACTCAAGAAGAGCCATGAGACCTTTTCAAGGTTCTAGTTGATTACACACTAGCTCACTGCATGGCAGAGGATCTCCAAATGTCCAGGAGTATCGCTGTGGTGTTCAACAAGAAATTCGGTCAGCTCCAAACATTACGAGAACAGAATCCAGAAGTCGAAGGAATGCTACAGTTGTAGAAGGGTCAGAGAAACATTCTCTACTTGTGACCAGAAAGCATTCTCATCGAGACGAACCGTCCTATGAAGACGTCTGGAGGAGTCTTACCAGACTGAGGGGTACGATGCTCGACCAGAATCTTGTGGACTTGGCAATCCTGAAATTAGCATCTGGGTTCGACAGGCTGGATTGGAGAATTGTGAGAAACGTGTTGAAAACGATATTCAGATCCAGCGGCATCAAGATTTCGGTGTGCGATAACCATTTTCCACGACCGAGCATGAAAATTGTGTAGTGTTACTTTCATCGAACTCCACAGTGTCCTCTTCGGCAATGTAACGAATCTGAAGCCGCCCCTAACCGATATGCCAGCCGACTCAGCGAACAAACACATGACATCACCGCGAAAGGATGCAGTCGGAAATCGCCGGTAAAATTCTTGGACCGAACTCACTACAAATGTCTAGAAAGGACCGTTACCGACCCAAGAGGGCAGTTCAGAAAGTGAACGAGCTGTGAACAAGAAATTCAAATAGTGGAAATAAATTGAGCGTTAGTTGCTAAGTGTTGAAAATAAATCAGTTTGTGATTAGTAAAATATTGTTGGAAATACATTTTTTTAAGACAGTTAATTCTTTAATTTGTTACATTATTCACATTTTTGAATGAATGCATATTGAGTGAAAGATTTTTTCACCTCATGGTAGATGAAATGAAGATCTCAACAAAATACGCGCGACAGATTTCGATTCATGCACCATCTTTCAACATGTGTTCAAAGTTGGGTCAAATCCATTTCTATTATCTAGAGTTCTTGGCAAAACAAGCGAACCGGTTGAAATACCAGGATCTCTATGTATTTATGATTTTTAGAAAAAAAAATTGTTTCATGAGTTGAAACATCAAACTGATCAATACAAACTGATTGATGATGAATTTTCTCATACTCATATAGCAAGATTCTTCAACAGAGATCCCAGTGTGTATTATTTCATGAAGTTCTTTACGGACCCAATATGTCAGTTTTGAAATAGATATATAATATTAGCACATACTCAAAACTTACTCAACCAATATGCGAATAATTTTCCCCTTGGGAGTTCAAATTCATATAATAAAATATATTTAGTATATGCATTACCTGTCATTTTCATATTCACAAATAAAAAAAAATTTTTTGAATCACGTCTATATTCTCCTATACAAATATTGATCATTTAACCTACCGGCTTAATGACCAAGATATGAAGATCCATAACATTTGTACCAGTATGGCCGATCTTGATTAAATTTTTCCCTTCATTGTACATTTCGTAAAACCCGTAAGCATCGTTGTTTTCCAAGTACGATTCTGGGTTAATATTCTGCGTATTTTCCAGTGAATCGAAAGTTGCTATTGCCCCGGCGGCGTCTGTTGGTCCATCTATTCCATCTGTTCCGCAACTAAGGAATGAAATATCTGCCGATTTTATTTCAAGCTTATTAAGTTCGACGAAAAAAGCTAGAGATAATTGTTGGTTCCTTCCACCCTTGCCGTTTCCAGTTACGACGACTGTCGGCTCACCTAAAAAGTATTAGATAAAGATAATTATGATCATTTGATATTTTATTCAAAGTAGGCGAATGTAAAAATATATACCTATTACGTATAATTATAAGTTGTTAACTGAAAATGAGAGAAACAAGAGAAAAACATGTCTCAATGTAATCGATTTAGTTATGAATACATATACATACATAAAATACAGTGTGTCAATTTGAATGCGTCCTCGATAATTCGACCCTTGTAGAAAATTTGAAAATATGCCAAAATACTTGTTTCTCTCATACTTTGTATAAACAATACAAGTAGTGGAAATAGGTGATGACCTGAGTGAACTACAATATATTAAATGTGGTGTACTTCAAGGTACTGTTCTTGGTCCTGTTATTTTCAACCTGTATATCAACGATGTGTTTGAACTGAACAGTGCAGGAAGAGCAATTGGATACGCCGATGATACTACAATATTTTATCAGGCGGATACTTGGGACGAATTGAAAAACATGGTGGAAAAAGATTTTATTCTCATAAATGACTGGTTTTGCCAAAAACTGTTTACTGTCAATTCGGAAAAAACTAAACGTATCACCTTCAGTTGCAATAAATCCGGAGCTGCACCTTTCCATCAAATTGTAGTAAACTTTCCTGAAAAAACATTATATATTGAATCTGTAAGGAGCATTAAATATCTAGACATGAATATATAACTTGAGGTGGAACTCCCATATCAACTTTGTTATTCAAAAACTGCGTAAAATTATTTATCAATTCAAAACTCTTAAAAAATGTTTGCCCATCACGGAATTGAAAAAACTGTACTTTTGTCTTGTTGAGAGTCATTTGAGAAACGCTATTACGGTTTGGGAAAACGCATCTAGGATATATTTGAATCTTTTGGAAATAATCCAAAAAAGATTCATTCGGCTAATTCTCAATAAACCCCTTACATTTTCTTCCAATAGCCTGTATAAAGAGTAAATTTTTTAGATATTGGACAGCTATATTACCTGTGTGTAAACGTCAGATTTCATTTCTGTAACTCAGAACCAGCTAAGTCAGAACACGAATATAATACACGAAATCGAAATGTACTCCTACCCATACATTTTTAAAAAATCAATTTCTCAACGAGCCTTTCCATGTGTTTCGTTAAAATTTTCTAATTCGGTTCCTGAAACAATAAAAAAATTAATAATGAGCATTTCTTCAAAAAAAAGCTGGGGTTATATATATAACGTGGGAGATATTTTGTACAAATGCTGAACTAAGACTTCAAATACTTACCACGACTTACACAACTTTAACGACTGAGCTCAACGCATCTTTCGCAGATAAAATTCTCCTTACTCATTCTTTTTTATCATATTACTATATTAAAATATTATTATAATGTTTATATACCTACCTGTTATTTTATTATAAAACTTCATTGAAAATTCATTATAATTCTTATAGATCTGTTCAAAATTATTTTAATGTAAGTTTTATTGCTATAACGAAACAAGTACTTGGGTACTTGGGATCGTTTGTTTACTGTCTTATTCATTTATTAATTATTTCAAAATGTATTTATATTTTGTATTCTGTACAGATATCTTTTAAGTGAAAAAAGTTATTATTATTATTATTATTATTATTGCAATATGTATTCTTTATGATGCTTGACTTAATTGATTTATATGCACATGCATTCTTAAATTGTTACAATTTTCACATTTCATAAATTTTTATATTATTTTTAATGTTGTCATTTTTTCAAATGCAGTTAGCAAAATCACTTTTGGATAATATTTTAATGAATAGGAATAAAAGAAACTGAAATTTTATTACATAACGGTGAATGTTTAAAGTATTTTTACTTCTTATATCCAACAAAATATCAAAGAAGCTTAATATTTTGTTGGAAATGAAAATATTAGAAAGAATATAATTTACCTAAGCTATCAATTGTTGGTAGTACGGAGAAACCTGAAACCTGAATCATTGATCTGGTCATCGATCTATTCTATTGAATACAATCCAGGTGAAGCATTTTTGAATTTTATGTTGAATTATATTTTAATTATCATTCCCGAGTCCATTTCTATTCAACAAAATTACGTAATTGTTAAATTAGTTTTGCAAGCTAGGGTTTGTCCGTTCAATAAATTATTTTCCACAATAATATTTACATTTCAACGAAGAAGAACTGAGATTATTCATATTTATGGGGACTGTCAAAGTTTAACAAGAAGAACGGAAACAATGTTCAATAAAAGATAATCCAACAGTAATGTAAATCATAAATATGTCCTCAAATTAGTCGCTGAATTCAATGATTTTTCAGTTCCATTATTTAGAAAAAAAATAGTCGCCGTGTTTTGGATAGAGTCGTTGTCAATATTTTTTAAAACAATTACTCAATTGTCAACAAATCCATTTGTATCTGTATCTGTAGAGTAGGGAAGATGAGTATACGCCCACAGCACTTATGCCACCATTATGACCCATTGTACATCCTCCCGAGGAGTTGTCCTCCTAGGTCATCGTCCATCCTGTCCTTTCCAGGAAGGTAGACAGGTCACTGCGAGACATCTCCTTCATATCGGCAGGTGTAGGCCAAAACTCGCCGAACACACACTCTCTTATTGACGATAACTCCGGGCACTCGCATAGGACATGCCTGACAATCTCATCTTCCTGTTCACATACCTTGCATAGAGGTGTGTCCACTAGCCCCATATTATGGAGGTGTTTCCTTAGTTGACAGTGGTCAGTCAGAAATCCTACTGTTAAGCGTAGACTTTTCCTGGTCATTGCCAGATATTTCTTCGGCGCCAGCTTCCCAGGGTCGCCCAAGGTGATCCTGGGAAGATTGCATCCTTTGATTCCATCCCATCTCTCTAAGGATTGAGCATGGGTATAACATTTGGCTAGTTCCGCAATTGTCGAAGTCATTAGGCCGTAGGTGCCACTGGGTCCTATAATTCTTATTCCAGCCGCTTCCTTGGCTAAAGAGTAGGCAATGCGATTACCTTCACTCCTGTCGTGCCCTTCAACCCTCAGGATAATGTAATAATTACCGAGGCTTTGGCTAATTCTTGGTGACACTCTAGTACTAGCCTCAACTAATCCATATTCACACTTCAATTTTTATGGAGTTTTCATTCTCACAATGAATAATAAATCCCGATTCTCTTGGAAATACCATGGGAAACTCCTCAACTTAATTTTCCGTTTGAAGAAAACGTAATTACTAAATTTCCAGTGGAAATTGGAATTTTTTAAATTCATAGGCGTCTTTTCAGGTTTTCATATGATAATATGAAAAACCTGACCTTTATGATATTTTTCATAATTTTGTAAAACTGTCATAGATTAGTGAAATTGAATAAAATTGGTTTCGTGTAGTATACTCTGTTAGATTCAACTGTTTCAGAGACAATGAGTAAAATTTCATTTCAAAAAATCTTTGAAAACATATATTTTTCGGTTTTTTAATCAATGAAAAATTTTACCAAAATCATCCCTGTATATATCTTTCTGACTTTAATGAAGTCAGAAAGATATATACAGTTAACCTGCAGTTTAAAAAAATTACTTTCATAGGTTGAATATTTGAGCTACTCCAACCATGAGTCCATTTGTTAGTGTCAACAACAAGCACTTTTAACAAAAGTCATATCAGTAGTAAATATTACTCCAATTTCCCCCATATGAATCCAGGATGATAAGAAGAAGTTGATTTTATTGCTCTGAAGTATCGTTTTAAAACAAATCTTATGTCATTAAAGGAAACATCATCACAAGTGGATCGGAATCGATTCATCCAACTGAAAAGTGAACTCCAGTTCGAGTATTCCCTAATCTTCCGAAAGATTTTATTCGCGAATGGAAGTTGAAAAAGTTCACCCTACCTGCAAAGATCAAACAAATCCCTCTCGAGTAATCCATATCGAGAACTTCCCCAATAAAATCTTGTTCGACACGCAAATCCTTGGTGGAAGTTTCTAGAAAAACTTTCAGTTTGTCCTTGTTACTTGAGTTGTTAATTACGGAAGTCATGTTGCATGCCAATTGAGCATAAATTCTAGCGATTTCCTTTACGTCGCCTTCAATTTCGGTTGAGACTACGGCTGATTGAAATCCCTTGTTCAAGGCTTCTTGTTTCGCTGCTTCGGCAGCTATTCGGTTGTTACCTGTGTAAAAGAAATTTAGCTAACTCAGATAGATAGATAAATATTAGTTCAAGAAAGGCAGTCATTACATAACAAGATACAGAAATAACTACATCGAAAGGATATATCTTCAGGAGAGATTGATTTTGGGAAAGAACGGTATTTTTACTTTACTCCTCTGTCTTGATATACAAATTGGGAAATATTCCAAGATGGAGAGGTAGAAAGCCAAAAAAACCTTTATTCTCCTAAAAAAACAAAAATAACTGTTTCGTCACCCCTCCATAATTGGTAGTAGTAAAGGCAGATGTACATTTTAGACACATCTTTTGATATGTATGTACCCAACTGGTTTGGGTACAAGTTTTTGTTTTTAACTTCTGTGTAAACAAGTTCAATTCAACTTGAAAAACTTGGCCAACTTCATTGCAGGCTGGGCCACCGAAAATTTATCTTAAGGCATAGCCATGAAAAAGTTTTCACAAAAAAACTAGTAGAGTTTGTTCATAAGCAGGAGGAGTTCAAAGTCAAAATCCCTGTTTTGAGAATAGTTTTCGATTTCTTATCCATTACTGTTCTGTTTGTGAAAATTGTTTTACTCATTCAGGAAATATGGAGTTTTGAAATGCTAATAGAACGTTTTCCGAAATATGCAAATATAAAATATTACTTAAAACTTTATCGACTTAATTAAGTAAATCTGGGAATATAGTTCATCAAATTTCATAGAATGCTATTTTATTATGTGTTTCCACGAGAAAACATAAAAATAAATCAAGTTACCGAGGAGGCCATTCATCTCTCCATCCTAACCGACGACTTCGAAATCTGCCATTCGGATAATAACAGAAAACTTGTAGTGTGCAAGAGAAGGACCGTCTTTGGCAGAGAAAGATCTAGAAATAATCAAAGATTGGTTCTACCATAAACAGCTTTCAACAAACAAATCGACACTTCCTTAATTTAATCAAATAACTATCCAAAACTCCTTCAAGCTAATCATATAAAGTATTTAGGGGTTCTCATAGATCTTTACATGAAATAGGACTCTCATTTTGAGTATATTGTAAAAAAATTGCGATGAATACTATGCAAGTTTCGTCAACTGAAAGATAGATTGACACTGAAAAAAAATAATTCACTTCAGTTTGGTTCAAAGCCATTTTATATATTGCATAATACGATGGAATTGGATATCCAAATCATACCTTCGCCCACTGGAAGTCATTCAAAGAAAATTTTGAAACTGGTTTTGAATAAACCGCCTCGTTATCCCAGTGATATGTTATGTAAACTATTGAGAGTATTCGATCCTAGACAGCTGTTCTGAAAGTCACAGGTTGTGTATAATTTTTTACCAGAAAACTCTTGTGCTGATTGAAATATTCAATAAATGAATACATGCGCTGCATACGTCGCACAAAAATTTGTGGAATATTTGATCAGAGTAATTAGGAGTCGATTTGAAAGTCGATAAGTAAAATTCATTATTGATGAAACTACATGTATTCATTCGATTTCATCACGTCACTTTGTTAACTCTTGTTTTGTTTTGAATATTACTGGAGTTTTTTTCCCGAAAACTTCCTGTTGAAGATGATCACTTGGTGAACGAAACACGTGCCGAAGTGTTAAAATAATGGTTTGGTGTTGGGAAAAAACTCCAGTAATATTCATTACTACACCAAAGGTTCCAAACAGTGTCGTTCTCCGCTATTACTATGATGCTTGTATCGTCGGCATACATGAATGGCTTACCATGTTCAATGAAACGGGGCAAGTCATTAACATAAAGAAGGAAAAGAAGAGGTCCCAATATTCCTCCCTGCGGCGTACCAATTTCGGTCTGCCGTTCTTCATGTATGTGGCTTTTTGACGCCTAAACGACTGAACGGAATTCCCAGGCTACATCTAGGTCTTCTAACTGGAATCACAAATGTGCGGTTGGCTCCTGTTGTTGACTCCGTGCATATGTGTTGTTTTCCTGCTTTCGGCAAACAAGTGTTGCCCACCTTTTACACTTGGTTGCTCCGCGCTGATGAGGCCAATAGCCAGAAACACGTGTCCGCGGTTTGCCCCCCCCCCTATTTGGAGTGTTATGTCCACTAATTGTTCCATTTTTGATTTGTAAATCATACACACTTGATAAAATCTTGAGGTTGCAGTCAAGGTCAAAGATGAAAACTTTTAGCTAGTTTGTCAAGCTTTCGGAAATGTTCATTTCCTTCTTCAGGACAACTGAAAAGATGATTGTAAAAATATATGTATAAAACGTCACAGATATAACTTACTCAACATGAGAATAATATAAAAAATTAGCAGCAAATCGAACGAAAATTAATTTGAAAGTTAATTTTGAAATGAATCAATGAATGACAATTATTTGTTGATAACATAAAAATAATAATTTATTTTACAATAAGTCAGTTACATACTGGATGATTCAGCATTACTATTTCTTCTTCGACTATCATTATCTAATTTAAATAAATAAGTATAAGTATACAAGTGGTAAAAAACATACGAAGTTTTAGTTCCCATGTTTCTATGGAATTAGTTATTCCAGGTACATTATCAATTTTTGGAGGAAGAAAAAATCCACAAGGCGATTTTCAAAAGTACCTACCTACCTACCTACCAACAAAACCGCCTGCTCCATGGCTTACCTTCAACATTAAGGAAATTATTTAACTGAGAGATAAAGCTCTTGGAAAGTTCAAAGTAACCAAATCTCATCATTATACCACCGGAGCAAGCCTATTTAGAATCTGTTTCGAGAAACGGAAATTCCAGTTTGATCTGGGGTACTCTAAGAAAAATGAACACAGGCCTTACCTTTCCACGGATTTATCAGAACTGAATCAAATAAACTTCCACTTCACAAATATTATTCATCCTGCAAAATCTCATCAACATGAAACACTTATTGAAAGATATACTCAGACTTATAATGGACCTACTTTGAATTTTCGCCAGAGAGACACCACTCCAGACTCAACAATACATCAGTGGTATGAAAAGTAACATTTCTCTCATTATGTTAAAGTATATTGAAAATTATCTTATCAACCACATCACACACATATTCAATTCCTCTATAGAAACAAATCATTTTCCTTCTGCATGAAAACATGCAATTGTAGTCCCTTTGCCAAAATGTGAAAATTCAACTGAATTATTTCATTCGAGGCCAATTAGTAAACTGCATATCCTATCTAAGGTGTCCAAGCGGATTCTGAAAGATCAAATTGATTCATTTGTATACAATAATAATTTAATAACAAATGTTCGATCTGGATTTCGTACATTCTATAGCACCACCACCGCTCTTGTCAGCATCATCCAAGATTTATTCAAAGCAACTGATAATAATGAAGTAACTGTCATGGTAGTCTTGGACTACAGTAAAGCATTCGATACATTAGACCACGATATTCTGTGTAGGAAAATGTTATTTCTCGGATTTAATGAAGGGACTGTAGATCTATTGAAAAGTTACCTCAGAAATCGGACTCAGTCAGTATGTCTGGATGGAAAGTGTTCTAGTGCTTTACCTGTTGATTATGGAGTACCTCAGGGCTCTATTCTTGGCCCAATTCTGTTCTACACTCAGTTATATTATCAATTGCCTACAAGTAACTGGCAGGTGGCAATGGAAAAAATTAACAGCGATCTACAAAAGTTACTGGATCTATCTATAGCCCATAACCTGAACTTGAATTCTAAAAAATTCCAGCTGATACTTTTCGACCCGAAACACAAAAGATGGGAAATAGAAGAAAGAATTGAAATCCAACTTGGACAAGACTAACTACAAACAATTACAGAAAGCAAGAACTTGGGTTTATGGCTAGATGCTGATTTGAGATTTCACAAACAATAATTCACTTTGTCGTAGCTCATACAGTATCTTACGCCAGACATATTGTGTAGATTAGCATATTACGATATAATCTACGGACTTGCTTTGATACAAACTGATTTAAATCGCTTACAAAAAATACAAAACAATTGCATTCGTCTTTCTTATGGTGTGAGAAAATTCGACCATATAACCCTCCAGTTCGAGGAGTTAGGTTGGTTACCGATTGCTTAAACTTGGCAGTTGCACCTACTCGTCAATACACATAAATTCCTCATTTACATGCCAAATTATATTCATGAAAGATATAAAACTTTCAAATCACAGGATAAACCGTCACACTTTTATTATCCCAAAACATTCGACAGCCTGCTTTTCTTGTTGTTTTATTTACAACTCTATCAAACAATATAATGCTCTGCCCAGTAAATTTAGACACTACTCCATATAATATTCAAAAAAAAAATTGAAAACATATCTGAAGTTTTCTGGATGTATAATATATTTATGTTATGCCTTGCTCATATGGTTTTCCTTTTGTCTCACCTTTGTGTATGTTTTGCTACATATTTCACCTTATTTAAGCTAAATAGATTTTTAATATTCACTTTGGAATTTATAACCTTTGCTTTTTCTTAGTTTCACAAAGATTCATGAACTACTCACTTACCAATGTATACTAGGTAATTATTTTTATATTTCTATATGAAACATGCTATCCCCCAGGTTAAGTTGTAAAACAGCCTCGGCTGAACTTCGGCCTTTTATTGATTTTTGTATTTACTTCTTCTTTATAAACAATGTATGTCAATGAATAAAGCCTATTTATTATTATTATTATTATGCGAGCTACTTCCTGTCATAATGATACTCGAAAGGTAGAACTGAAAACTCTGATGTAGAATGACATCTCTCCCTAGGATGTTCGCCATCTATGGAATCGACAGAAGACTCAATATTGAAGATCAACATTCCAAGGCGGTTTATTGCAATGCCAAGCTCCGACATCGACCGCCAAACGAGATTCATCGTCTGTCTTCCACTGCAGCTTTCATTGCAAGACAACTAGATAGATTTGTCAGTTCTTTCATTGAATCAACCATACACAATCGATAATAAATATTAAGAGTTGTCTTGTGAATCCATCAGTAGGTTGATGGAGTTTGTTTCAATTCATTCAGTGTTCAGAATATTATAACTTTTTATATTTTGTGTAGACGTTCAAGATCTGGCAACATTTGATGTCTTTTATTACAATAAATACCGACAGCAAACACTGGAGTTTTTCTTGTTTAGTTTAGAATAATTGGAAAAAACATAATATTCTATTACTTTTATTACATTATGCAGTGAAATCCAAATTCGGGTTTATGAATGGAAATCTTGGAAACGATAAGGAATAGAAAGTGTTTCAAATTATGTCAAAGTTGCCTATTTAAGGTCTTATTTAAGAGTTTCAACATATCGATTATATCCTTTCAATTTCGATTACATACTACAAAAACAATTTTTCTCAGACAGATAATAAAATAAAACACCACCGAAAATAAGCGAAAAACGTTTTAACAAATGACTGTTACTGCTGTGAGCGCGGTACTTTTTTCGATTTTTTCAAAAAGACATGAGAAATGAGGCGAAATTTGTTATAGTCAGTGAATTACATACGGACGCAATTTTGTAGGAGGAGCAAGACTTCACTTTTTTTTGTTTGGAGGGATATCAATCATATTTTATCTTCTCAGATTCAAATTAGGAACATCAGTTCTGAATGTGATTTTCCTGATATTCCGGGTTTTCAGTCCTGAGTATTTTATAAATCCTTCAGGTGTGAAGACACATCTGAAGAAGCGATTATATAGCGAAATACGTATTGCGTTTTATATAACTGTTAAGTGAAAATTTCACAATAAAATGTTTCTTAAATACCTACGTCATGGATTTTCATCAAGTATTGACCGATTTCATCACATATCATTTCTCTTAGTTCAAATCATCGTTCGACGGTGAGTATCGTTAGAAGAGACACATGAAAGGACACATGAAAAGAAAGTACATTTGAGAGATTATTATTTTTGGATTACATGACTTTTTTTAGAGGAAGGAAAAAATAATTATAAATATCGATAAAACACATGATTTCAGATAGTAATTTCAATTATTGTTATGCGTATCATATGCGATGTTACACATAGGTCAAACTCGAAGAGTATTCAAAGCACGCATCATAGAACATTAATAAGTATCCAGAATGGAAAAAAGAAGTCAACCTATGTTACTCACCTCCTTACAGGTGGGTATCATTAACTCAAACACTTTTAGATGAGAGGTTTTGAACTCAACTTTCTGAAAAGTATGGGAATCAATTTGAATATTGGAAGATTTGCAATAACTCAATAGTAGTTGTTTACAGCTGATTCTCGGCCTCCCCCCACCACTATGACGTATTAATTGCTTTTTTTATTGGTTGTTGTTTGGTGAAGTTTTTTTGTTGTGCAGTGAAGTCAAGGCGTTGTGACCTTGAAGNGTTACTTATTTTCAAATTGATTAATCCTTCCTTTCTTTGGAAGATTCTCTCATCCATTTTTTTGTACCAGATGGAGTAGTAGAAAGCCAAAAACTTTCTTTCCCAAAAAATATGCAATATCATGTGCAACACACGCAAGTATCACTTCCTTGGGCATATTTGCAAGCCCCACTTTATCCATTTTTTTCAAGGAACCATATTTTGAAAACATTCTTAGTGAAAACGCCATTTCCTTGATAGCATCCCGGTCCAGTTTTGGTGTTGTATCCATTTTTATTTGGAAAATTATTCATAGAGAAACTGTAAGCACAAGTGATCACTGTGTATTAAGTTTCTGTTGACGATCATAGTTATATTTGATTTTTACATCCGAATATTCTCGAAAGAATCGAGTCAATTCCAATAGTGGTGATAGATCTCCAAAACTATCGAAATATGCGACTTCTTTTCCGCATTTTTTATATACCAACCAATGTGTTCCTGGTCCACTTATTCCATCTAAATTAACAATAGCTGTCGCGTTTTGTCTTGGACCTGAAGATGGTAATCTGTCACGCATAAAAACACCACGAAAATGTGAAATTTTCATTTTTTGTGCATAATAACTGAGATCGAGATCAGTAAGAGGCCTCTGAGGTAGGGGTTCAATCAGTTTTTTGTTTTGTTTGTGGCTTTGTATGGTTTTAAATATAGTCCTGAACCTTTACGGTACGGTTTGAGGTATATTCCACTTCCGCGTTTGCCCAATGCTACAGCCTCCATAACTTTATTGTGGCGATTGGCTTCCATTGAAGCCTTTCTGCTGGCTTTTGCTGAATTCACGGCCTTGGCAATACCAGCAGCGGCTCCCGCCAAACTTCCTAGTGCGGATAGTCCTGCAAAAATTGATATCAATGGCAAAAGTCCACCGATCTTGGGAACAGGAATTATGCGTGGTGTGCGGATTTTCTTCTTTCCACCGGCAGTTTTGAGGTATTCACGTGCCGCCTGCAATGCCACAGTGATAGCTTTTTTGCTATTATTCGTCACAAATTGATCCCCACCAGCTTTCTTCAATACATTTCGCACTTTATGGACTATCCCAGCACCAAATGCAACTTTTCTATTTTTATTTTTCTTCGTTTGTTTTCTCTTACTTTTTTCTTATTGCTGCTACAACTCATGCCCATATGTCTTTTTGTTTTCATAATGTTGGTGACAAGTAATGCAACTGTTTTTTTCCCAATACTCGCTTCCTTCGATTTGACCCTATCCCAAGCGCTGTATTCAAGTTCTTTGTCGGCTAAATGTCTTGCTGCAAGATCGGATGGATGCTTGGAATATTGAATATTGTGTTTTTTGCATTAAATATCTAATTTATTGATTCCAGGGTCGTTACGAGCTAAACGTTGTTTCAATTTTGTACCCGGTCCACAGTATTGATAACCTCCGGTAGATGTAATTCGAAAGGAAGTTTATTTATTAAATCATTAACAAAACCACAACCTCTTTTAATTTCACGATCACTTTCAATACGTCCGTATCGTTTGATGGTACACATTGAAATGAATAAGCTAATAACATTTATATAGTCTCCAACCACGGTACGATGCGCATTGTAAAACAGAAAAAAAAGTTTGCTGTAGATAATCTAGATGAGAAATTCGGGTGTGGATTAAATGGACAAAGGATATTCAGATATGGTCCACTACTTCCATCATCAGTTCGAGGACTCATTATAGGACCTTCAAATTGGGGAAAGACGAATGCAATGACATCGCTTTTAACACATCCACAAGGACTGAGATTTAGAAATGTGTATCTCTATTCGAAATCACTCAATCAACCTAATTATCAGTACTTGCGAAATGTTTTGGAACCTATAAAAGGATTTGGTTTTTATACATTCAGCAATAATGCAGAAATAGTGGAACCCTCCGACGCTAAGCCTAATTCTGTTTTCATTTTAGATGATGTGATATGTGAAAAGCAGGACATTATTATATCATATTTGTGTATGGGACGTCATAAGGATGTTGATTGTTTTTATCTAGCACAGACATATTCACGGGTACCCAGACAATTAGTGCGTAACAATACCAATTTCATCATAATGATGAAATTGGTGAGACGGATGAGACGGATTTACACCATATTTATTCAGATCATGTATCATTCAAACAATTGATGTGTGTTAAATGCTGGGAGGACCAATATGGATTTCTAGTCATTGATAAGGACAGAAAAATAGATGAAGGTAGATATCGCAAAGGATTCAATAGTTTTATATATCCATGATCTTGTTTTTCAAACTTATTCGATCACTGAATATCGTAGAGGTCACTTCATCAGCGAATTGAGCTATCATTTAAAAAGAGCATTATGAATACGAAAAATGATTCTGTAAATAAAAACAGTGAAATAAATTTGAAACACCAACTAGTAGCGACAACAGAAGCTGTCAGGCAGAAATTCAACTCTATAAAGAATGATAATATTGAAAATCGTACGACACTTGAAAAATTGTATAAGCCCATAACGAAACCATTTAATGTTTTATCATCAAACGCTACTTCGAAATCGTCAATGTTATCGTCAAACCATGGAAATGTTCAATCTACTTCAAATTAGCCCATGAGTACTCCAATAGGAAGAAAACAATCTTTTGGTAGTGTATCATCTGTGAATAGTGACACGAGCACACTTCAAGACGATATGAGAACAAGTCTATTCGAAACACCATCGTTCCACATCGATTCCTCGGATCATGACTCCTCACCTAATATGAATGAAAGTCGTGAAGATGTTTTGGCGAAACATTTGAATAATGTAAAATCTAGAAATCCAGCATATGATGGAACATTTGGTGTACGTATGGATCCTATTACACAAAAGTTGAAAATGGAAAGTCTAGTGGTATATTTCAAAGATGGAAACATTTCATTTTGGGATGCTAATAAAGTGAAAAAATATGAATTCGCAGGTAGTCCAGACTTGTATGATATGATTTTTTTTCAAATCACAAGATGTTGATAATGAAGAAACTCGTCAAGTATATTCCAAAATATTGAAAATAACGAATGCTCCATATGAACAATATCATCTGAAGAATGGTTTCAAAAACACAAATTCTAAAATATTTCGTGAAGTTATCAAACCTCTATTATACTCACGACAATATCCAATAAAAAGTAGAAGTAAAATTGGTGGAGCATTCAAACGAAAGAAAATGGAGAAAACATATAATTCTCAACCTGTGAATTATATGTACTGGAATTCACCGAAAGAGTTAGTTGCTCGCCTACGACTATTGGTAGCTTCAAAGTCAGCTGGACATACTGGACATGACAATGAAATAATTTCAATAATTGAAGAATTACGTGAAGGAGGTATAATATATTAATATATCCACAAGTAATGATCACTGTCACATTATCTTTCAATGTAGTAACATTATCACCTTTTCTTATTATTCATATTGAAATGAAATGACTGATGAAATAAGTGATTTTAAACGACAATTCATCAATGAATTACATAGACCTGCAAGAATAACCACCATCAAAGGTTTTGCAGATCTATGGCAAATAGATCTAGCTGAACTACAACTTTATGCAAAAAGTAATAAAGAATATCGATATATACTTATAGTGTACTGTAGCAGTTAAAGATAAAACAAGTAGTACAATAACTAATGCAATGAAATATGTACTGAAGGAAGCCAAATTCTCCCCAATCATATACAAAGCGATCAAGGGAAAGAATTTTT